TTGCAGTTTCCATTACAATAAATCCTTGCTGCACATTCCCAGAGGTTTTGTAACTTCTCTGCACCTTTAAAAAAAAGTTACTCCTAGCTGAAATCTGTCACATAAGACCTCAAAAACAAACAAAAAACAAGCAAATTTTCCTTACTTAATACTCAAAAAATCTGTACAAAAAAAAAAAAAGATAGAGAAAAAATATTTCTCTGAATATTTACAGTTCCACTTTTAAAACTGGGGACATTGACAAGGTTCATTTCTGCGTTCTGCAAATCAAGAATACAAGAAACGTGAAAGGGACAAGTGACTAGCACAGTTGTATCCTACAATATTTATCTAGTGAAAAAGAAAGAACAGACAGGCTCAAATCTCGTAACTGAATTAGTGCTAGCAGGCTCAAGGCTCTGAGATGAGTGCATGATGAGTACTGAAGTGAAAAAGTACTGAAATACTGCACTTTAAACAGCTATTAGAAATGGCTATTGTACACATCCATGCAACTCTCCTTCATAAAGGAATTTACCATGCGTTATAGCAACATGATCCTATTTACACAATGAGTTGTTGTTCCAGTCCATCAAGTACACAAGAATTTTTAATGCATCCTAAAAAAATCAATTAGGCAATGATCATCTGATTAAACAGCCACATCATACCATTCAATTCTTTCAAACATACTCGTAAATCCAGGCCTTCAGACTTTGCTACAAACTTCCAAAACCTACACAAACAGCATATTACAAGGAGCTGATTTTTAAGCTTAATGAAATTCAGCACAAACTAAAGTATTACATGCTATTAACCTGGAAACGCAACATCAGACAAGGACAGAAAAACCTTCTTTTAGTAGGTACTCTCAGTTTTAATGTAAATGTTTTTACAAAGTATCAGAACACTTCCCAGCAGCACAGAGCACAGAAAACACCTTGAAAGGGCATCGGAATCAAAATTGGAAAACTGATTAGGGTGTCACAACCAACTTGGTGAAGGTCCAAAAGGTGGGGAGGGGGAATAAGTAGCTAAACAAAAAGAATGTGTTTTTTTTTTTAATCGGATCTTAAATATTCACCCTACAGTGAAATACATTGCAAAACTATGCCTGAAGTATGAAGTTGCTAAGTATCCCTGCATATTAGTCTTCTTAATTTTGACATCACTCTTTGCAATTCCAAGATGTATCTGAAGAAAGTCTGAGAAAGCTGGGGCTATCAGCCTGAAGAAGAGAAGGCTCCGGAGTGACCTTATAGCATATTTTCAATACTTAAAGGGATCTTATAAAAAAGGTGAAGAGCAACTTTTTGCTTGGGCATACAATGACGGGACAAGGGGGAATGGCTCCAAACTAAAACGAGGGGATTTAGATTAGAGGTTAGGAGGAAATTCTTCACTGTGAGGGCGGTGAGGCCCTGGCACAGGCTGCCCAGAGGATCTGTGGATGCCCCATCCCTGGAGGTGCTCAAGGCCAGGCTGGATGGGGCTGTGGGAACCTGGTCTGGTGGGAGGTGTCCCTGCCCATGGCAGGGGGTGGCACTGGGTGGGCTGTAAGGTGCCTTCCAACCCAAACCCTTCTGTGGTTCTGTGATCTGAGAGCTCAGAAAGTGAAAGTTAAACTGAAAGTATGTGGTTGTTTTCTGTTTTCACATACATACGGTTATCTCCCTGATGCCCTGGGAAAGGAGTGCTAGTAATCCCCAAATTGCATTCCTCCTATGCAAACCAGAAGGGAGAGTACATGAAGTAGCAGTATTAAGATTCACATGCAAGACCAGCATTGTAAAACCCTGGGATGCAAACACTGGCCTTGCTGCAACTTGTGTTTCAGTCATGTTGAAAACTCACACCTAGACACAGGTGAACTTGCTGCTGGGTTTGCCTTGCCTCCTTTCCCTCTCCTCCCACTGAATGGAGGGAAAACAAAGAAAACCTAAGCTTCCTAACAACATTAAGAAACCATCTTTGTTAAGTAATTCATCAACCACATCTATTGCCTACTGCCAAAAGAGAGATGAACTATCGAGTCTGCAACCCTACAAATAAAGCATATGATGCTTCTAGTAATATCTTCCTCTCTTATATTTCCCTTTTTATGCAGGTACACTTTATAAACTCATTTGATCTTTAATATTCTAACCCATGAAGACAATTTTACTGAAATCAGTCCAAAATTCTTTACGTATTTACTTGACCCATACTGAATTAACTGGACATGCCCTTACTATCAGACAAAGTGCTGTAGCCATTTCACAGAACATATCCAACCCGTACTTTCTGCACTTCCTTCATCATCCTGACCATTTCCACACAGAATTCTAAGGAAGTTTGGGGTTTTATTTCAAAATTTTTTATTACCAAGCATGCCTACAACAAACAGAAGTCTGAAGAAGATGTCTGCTGCACTATGTAGAGACCACTTTTTCAACAGGTTAGCAAACTATGCTCAACACCCACGCTGCAGGTAGGCAGAATGACGTTTCATCTTTTCCACTCTTTAAACTTTCTGATGTCAGAGGACTCCCTTCCCACGTGTCTCTCCTCCACCTCTGGCTTGCAGGCTGTAATGAAGGCTTCCAATAGGAATACACTATTCCCTGCTGCAGCATGACCCCACCAGCTACCTACATCTAGGCAGTTACCTTCATTTTCATTAATTTCAGGTCGATCATTAGGGTGATGTTTTTCCATCTGTTTCTGCACTTGCAGCATCCTATAGCAGAGCCTGCAAGTTAAAATCTGTCAAGTCCCATAGCTCCCACCTCAAGCCACAGCTCTGACTGACAAAGATCTAGACTTAACATTTCAAGGTCTTCAAGATTCAAATATCTTTACAGCCTAACAAAAAGCCTGCTCGTTCCATCCACGGAAACGGAACTGACACCCTCAGCTATCTCTGGGAAACAGCGAGCTATAACTTAAAATAAGAACAACCTCCCTCAGAAATGCTTCCCTCCCTTCCTACAGTGTGGCTTTCCACCCTCATAACCCACCTACCCAATGCCCTTTTTGCACCATACTTAAAACCAAAGAAGGTGTATGCTAAAGGCCCAGGATGATTTAACCGATCAAGCTTTCGGAAGTGTCTTGTGGTTTTCATTAATTCAATGTGACACTGTGAAGGACTCCCATTTTCATAAAGTGCTGAGATTCATCTTCTGAAACTTTTGGCAAGATTATTTTTTTTATATATATTATATCTAGAAGTAGGCACATGCTATGCAGCCAATTTTAACAAGCAAAGCTAGGCTCTCCTTATTTAATATTCATGTCACAGGAATAAAAATCCAGCCAGGAATCAAACTGTGGCATCCTGTGCCAAAGACAACTTACCACTCAGCTGGTAAGTTGGCAATTCAATTTACAAACCTGCATTCCTGCATTTTAATCCTTTGTAGAAAGGTGGTAATATACGAGCAATATGAAAAGAACTGGATTCAGATCATTAGAGGTTCACAAACCAAACACGCGAAGCTTTGGAGGCTGTCCAAAACAAAACCATGCCTAGGTGGTGATGTCCGTTCAATAAAAATTCAATGTCATAATTATCCTCTCGCTTTTTCCCCCCGAAGAGCATTAGTGCTCAGAACCGTGCTGCTGCTCGGCCAATTACATTAATGCCGTTAGAAGACAGATAGGGCCCGCAGCCAATCGCTGTGCCAGGTCACTGCCTGCTGACGGATAATTTACAATTAGCAAGCAATTAGCAAATGAAGTGAAAATTCAACACTCATCTCCACATAACACAGAATAACTCATTTTTAAATTAAAAATATGTTTTAATAACTTTAGTTTGGCTACGGCCTCCTTTTACCAGTTTCTCCTCCTTTATGACTGACAAAACGCCACGCTGTCTGAAGTGAAAACCACGTCTATTGTTTGATATTTCTAAATGAAATAACCTCTTCCTTACAGCTAGATACCTATTTAACAACAGAAAAGAACAAAAATGAGAACTGTTGATAAAGGTAATATTCACTCAACTAGTGTATTTGAAAATTTCTAGCTCACTGAGCATCTGATGAACACCCTGTACCAGCAGACAGAATTAACAGAAATAACTGGAACTAGCCAAGCACCTGTCTGGGAGTCCATAATCTTCTTTTCTTCTCTACATTTAACAGTAAATGACGTAAAAAGAAACTGATCTGCAACTAGTCAGTTGCACAAAACAAAATGCTGCTTCCCATTAATCATCAACTTATTAGCTTGCTATGCTCACAACATAGTAAAGAGCTCAGAGCTCCTTTTGCCTACACTCGCAATCCTAAAAAAAAAAAAAAAAAAGATCTAAGAAAAATTTGCCAACATAACTTCTAGATAAATTTGTTTCAGTCCCACTCTGGAAAAATACTGTATCTTCCTTAATATGTATGGTATGGGCACTGTAATTACCTTTCTCTTAAAAGTGCAGGAAAAAAATGCACAAAAGCATCATCAACAGTGAAATCCAAGCAGATTAAAGGAGATTCTTGCATGTTCCTTGATACCAAAAAATTAGCCTAACTTTTGAAGGAGTTATTGAGGGGAAAAAATTAACAAAAGTTACAGAAAACTCTTACAAAAGGAGGATGGGGGAGAAAAAAGAACAGCTGATAGAAATACCTAACACATTTGCATGTACTGGACAACACTAGTGTTGCTGTGCAGACACCAGCTCTAGGTTTTCATCTTTTAGATAAATAAGTCAGTGAGCCAGAAAGAAAGAATTAAAAAAAAATAAATTAAGGAAATACACAAGGCTAAGTGATGTCAACCGAGAAAGAAAACTGATTATGTTTGACCTATTTCCCTCTCCAAGAAGACACCAGCAACAAACTAACCTCTTTTCTGACTGTACGCAGTTTCAGAAAACATTTACGCTGTCAACACGAGGTATTTCCTTTTGAAACAGTCCTTCACCCTCCTTCTGGAAGAGACGAACTTATCTCTGAATTTTTCCCTTGCACCCACTGCACTGCCACAACGCTGGAGAGAAGGGAAACCCACACAAGAGAGTGAAACTCTCCACAAACCTGCTGCTGCGGATACTGCATTCCTCCCATGGCGGCCGGGGCTCGTCCCTGCATTCCCACGGGGTAGCGCTGGGGGCCGGGAGGGCCGTAGGACTGCCCAGGGTAGGGGCTGCTCTGCTGCGTCTGAGAGTGAGGGTTATTGCCCATGCCGTACAACTGAGGTCTCTTCATCACCATTGGATCCATCGGACTGCCCTGTTAGTGAACACAAGCAAAGAATGGGTTTAGAGGTACTGGAAGAAATGGGTCAGCACAGCCACGCTCACCACAGACAGGTCATACAGGCATTTGCTCAATACTTTATCCCTTTCTCCCAAAAAGATGAAAAATCAACATGGCATACAAACAGGCAAAGTACCACAATTAGTTGGGTGAGTTTCTGAATGGTGAGTTTGGGACTTACATTCAAATATAAATAAATAAAATGAACTTTGCACTCAAGTTTAGACATTGTCTCTCACCTACAAAGACAGGTATGATAATTACCCAATAAATCCCAGCTTAAGAAATAATTAAGTATGCTGTTGTAAACTGATTAGCAACATTGACTTCAACATGTAAACATACATCAAATCATGTCTATCAAGAGAGATACATGTAATGGGAAACCATTCAACCTTGAGAAAATGTCTATTTTCTTTCCTTGAAAAAAGGGACAAGTGTAAAGAAAAGGAAGTTTCCAAAAAAGTGCAATGCTTCACAGCCTTCACGTCACTATCACATGCATTAGTAAGGTTCCAGATGATAATGCAAGTCATAACCCAAAATTTGCATAGACATTTATTTGCCTCCTTAACAGACCTCAGAAAATCCAAACTGAAATCAGTGATGGAGGGGGATGGGAAGCAAGGGGTGGAAGTTTTATTTTTAGACTTCTTGGCAGGACTTACCAACACCAGTAACAGCTTCAGGACGGGTGTCAACCATTGTATGGCATTACTCTCACATTTGATTACTGAGGACTAACTGAACCAGAAAAAAATACACTTTTGTCAAGTGCAGCAGCACTGCATTGTTAATATGACACCCATTTTTTAATTCCTGAGTGCCAAACAGTTATATTCAACCAAGAAAACTGTTTTTGTTGTTTTTTTTTTTTCTCCTTTTTAAAAGCCTACCACAGTTTCATCTTAATGAGATTTCCTCCCTTCCCTCCCCAGAAAGAGGTGTATTAATTCATCCAACCAGTCTGCCTTCCCTCCGGTAGCAGGATTCCTTCCTATGGCGTATTTTGTACATTTTTTCCAACAGTGCACTGCTGACCAGCTTTATTTTAAAGACTTCCAATGTAATGTGACTTCTGCAAGGCCTTTTCGGCTGCTATGTTCTGATGTAATAGTTACTATGACAATAAATTACTTTCTCACTCCCATCCCTGTTTCTTTTCATTATTGCTGTTTGTACTACTAAAACACTGTGTTTCCCCCCTTCCCCCAATAACACAAACAGGTATATCCCCTGTAAACTAGCCACTGCTTAACAGTTATATGTTGTTCTTACTACTTATTCCTTGCAAGGGAGTAACTCAAACCTTCTCCCTGTTTTCTCCAGCTTGCCCTACCTCTACCAACACCTGTTTGCTAGGAATGTGACCCAAACCAAATATAGTATATCTATCTCAAATGTTGCCATATTACACCTGCAAAACGTGGAAATTATAACCTCATTCTCACATGACACCTCTATGCACTTCAGAAGTGGATTGCACCCACCCTTTTTAGTTTTCCACCATAGAGAATTGCACATTCACTTCTAATTTGGGGTAAGCATTACTCAGCAATTATCCACTTTATTATTTGCCTTTTTTTTGTGGCCAGATCAGAACTTTCTATTTTTCACCACTAAATGTCTCTGGGTAACATAGTATTTATATTTCATACTTTTCAAATTCCATGGTTCCCCAAACACTGTAGGCCGCCTGACCTCTACCAACACATTTTTTTTATTATTTTATTTTTATTAGGCCATTGTGCATCTCAAACTTTTAAATAAGAGCAGACAGACATAAAAGTTTAGCGGATGAACTGGAGATACCTTCTGACATGTTCCCAAGGGACAACTTAAATTACCCTTCTGTAGACCAAGATAGTTTCTCTGTGTTTATTTCAGTGTTTCCATGTTCATTCTGGGTACCACCTGTTGTATGCCTCTCCTCAAATATAAGTCCTTGTTTAAAGCAAGTTTTGGGTTTCCTTCATGAGATTCTTATGAAGCCCAACTCCCCTGCTGATTGCCCCCATCCTCTGTTTCAGTGTATTGTTTCCAGGTCTCAATTCCTATAACAAATTAAGTCAAATTTAATTTTAATTAATTTTGAATGTAATATTTTCCACTCCCCCTCCAATACTTAAGTAGTACCATAAACAATACAGATAATTACAGCTAAAATAGTCCAACACTTTATTTCCATTATGAAGACTATTTTCAGGTGGGTATAGACTTTGCCAAACTTCAAGTATTTAGGCTGAAATTTTCCAGGCCATATGTATGCCTGAGGCTGAAATTCTCTGGAAAATTCAGCTGAAACAGTTCACCTATGTCTTAGAATGAGGTCACAGAAGAATACATCGCTTATGTTCTTACATAAAATACTTAAAAATACCTCTTGAATACCATGGTTTGGGGTATACAATTTTAATTTGCTGGGGTGACAATGGATTTTAAGGAAATATAAAACATGCACCCCTATGAACCCCTGATTTTCACCTGATTCTTAGGGGAGGAGGAAGAAACCAGAGAGCGTGAGGTGCACACAACAAAGCAAGACCAGATAAAAGGAGATGCAAGGTATAAGAAGGTGGCCTGAAGTTTGCCAAAGAAAGGACAGTGAGTTTAAAAAAGCAGAGGAGAGAGAACTGGGACAGGAAGAGCAGAAGGAAAGAGGAAACAAGGTCAGGAGGTTAAATGGATACAGGCTGAAGTGTCTCTGTCCAGTGGACAAGTGACCTCCAAGTGGTAGAGGTCTCCTGTCTGTTCATTAGTTGGTTTGGAGGGTAAGCCTCCCTGACATTTCCTTCTTCCCTGCTTTCTTCTCCCTAACCTGGTGCCTCTTCAGCTCCTGCTTCTCCTTGTGCTCTCCAGGAGAGCTGCCCCTCTTGCCCTTGTGTGATGTGAAGGCTCAGAAAGGAGGAGGCCTGAAGAGCCCGAGCTGCTGCTGGACCTCCAGGCGCTGGGGGCTGTAGGTGACCCACACAGCGCTGAAACCAAAGGGGCTGTGGACACTGCATATGGATAACAAGGGACACAGGCAAGGGGGGACCTGGGCACACTGAGAATTTACTGTGTACATTGCAAGCAATGCACCACGATCAAAGACTGGAGATACTGAAGATGAAAGCAGTAGCTAGGATCAGATAAATGGCTGGGACAAGCCAGAGAGACCCACTCGTGCTTGTCAGTGCTGATTGCTCTCTCCACTCTCCAAGACCTCAGGGAAACAGTAAGCAGAAGCACAGTAAAGTCCTCTGACCATGTTTAGGACTGGAGAAGTAAGACTGTGGCATTAAGTAATGTGATCCAAAGCCGTGTCAGAGAAGGATGGCCCATCTTAGCCCTACTTTTTTCTGAGGAGCACAAGGAGGCAGCTGGTCCTGAGGGAGGCACTAAGCCTAATTCAGCAGTGCACCCACCTGAAGCACACTCACACATAAAGAGGCCAGAAACACAGCTGAGAACACTCTATTGTCAATACCACAAGAAAAAAACAAAACCTGGGATGAAAACTAAGAATAAGTGAAGTCTCAGCAATCTCCTAGCATCAAAGAGCTCCTACACAAAACCCAGCGAGGATGCACATCTCATCCCACGCACTGGTCGGTCCCTATGGAGGGTGGCAACCTACCACTGCTATCACTGACTCCATCCAGATGAACTCAATGACTGTCTGTGTGCTGCAAGTACAGGTGAGGACTTGACAGCCACCTACCAGTGGCTGTCAACATATTTCTGCATGGCTTAACAAAGCCAAGTAACCCACAAGACCACCTCCCTCCCCAGCTTTAGGAAACACTATCACTGCAGAGTTGCATACTGAGTTAGGAACTATTGGGAACAAGTTTTCCCTCGGTATTTCTCGTGTTTCCTTCACGGAAGATGGTCACTGCTCTAGGGATGGGTCAGCAGCAGCGCAGGGACGGGGGCTGCTGCATGCTACAGGACCAACATTTATTATACAAGTGAGAAGATGGGTAGCAAACAAAGCAGGACGCAGTGGGATGAGGAAAGCTGATTAGGGTGGTCGTAAGCTGCTCAGCCAAAAGTGGATACTACCCCTCCATCTGCCACAGTTTTTACCTAATGTTGAATAAATTATTAAAACAATAAATTTTCAAAATGTAACAGTTTAATGCATCCCTCATTTCCTCACTTGGAGTCATGCAATTTAATTTGCAGAAATGCTTCATACAACTGCAGCAGCTTTTGAATTTGATGAGATGTGCTTTCGAAGAGCTGTATGTTGCAGAAAATTTGACCTACAGCCATCATAAACAGGCTACTCAAGCTTCCTTTAGTAGTGCCTCAGTTTCCCAACTGTAAAAATGAAAAAGAAAATCATTACTTCTTCGCTAGAGAGGTGATTTTAGAATTTAATATGACTGTGATCAATACCATAGAAAACTCTTAAAAAAAGAAAAGAAATTGTCTTCAGCACAGTGCATGATAAGAAAGACCTGGAGCCATACACTTAACAGCAGAAAACAGCTGCTCCCTGAGTACTGGGTGTCCTGTACAGTGGAGGTGAAAGTTTAATTATAACTTTTTCTAACTTTAATGCATGCCCAATTTTCAGCTTTAGCACTCTTTAAAAGTTTTATTTTTATAGAAAGTTTCATCCACAATGTTCTGAAAAGCTAAGAAGTGTGTTATCATCCTATCTGAAGGTTCCTTTAACATTTAAAAGTTCAAATAACTTTTTTCTAACATTAGTTCCAACAATGTTCAAAGACAAGTTTTGGGTGGCAGGGTCAGTATGACAAGTATCAACCTCTGCATGTTGTAGGGATCGACAACCAACCCCTCCACACCCGCTCTAACACTTCGCAGAGGTGATAGTGTTGGTATAACTGCACTGTATTTTTCTAAATCCCAGTGGACGTGTATTATCATGGATGGATGCTGTGTGCATTCTCACATCTTCCATGCCTTTACTTCATTCTATCACACACTATATTAGAAAGTTTTAATTACTTTTTGGT